AACAAAAAAACCAAAAAACAATGTTGATTGTTCTCAGCCATATTTAACATTTGTTAACATCTGCTATTTCTTTTGTCAGGGTTTCATAGTTCTCTTTGTAGAGATCTTTCACATCCTTTATAGATTAATTCCCAGGTATTTCATCTTTTTTGGAGCTACTGTAAAAGTTATAGAGTCTTTGATTTTATTCTCAGCTTAACTATTATTGGCATTTATAAAGGCCACTGATTTATGGGTATTGATTTTGTATCCCAATATGCTGCTATATTCCTTGATCACTTCTAAGAGCTTTGTAGTTGAGTCCCTGGGGTTTTTCAGGTATAACATCATGGCATCCACGAAGAGCAAGAGTTTGACTTTCTCTAACCCTATTTGAATACACTTTATTTCTTTCTCTTTTCGGATTGCCATGGCTAGGACGTTCAGCACTATGTTAAATAGCAGTGGTGATAGAGGCATCCTTGTCTAGTTCCAGTTTTAAGTGGAAATGCTTTCAGTTTTACTCCACTCAATATGATATTTGCTGTGGTTTTGTTGTACATGGCTTCTATCAGTTTAAAAAATATCCCACTTAAGCCTATTTTCTTAAGTGTTCTTTATCAAAAAGGGATGCTAAATATTGTCAAAAGTCTTTTCTGCATTGAGAGAATTATATGGTCTTTGTTTTTGATTTTACTTATAGGATGGATTACATTTACAGATTTATGTATAGGTGCTCAGGGCTGGGGCCCTCCCAGACCTTCCCTCCACCTAGGAACCCCTCCTAGGTGCTGGGGTTCCAGGAGGGTGTGGCCTCTGCTTCCCCCATCCCCTCAAGGACACACGCCCTTCTTGTGTGCCAACTATCAGAGGCAGGATGGTTCCTGATCCTGCCCCTATGCCGGTCCAGCCCCATACTCACTGAACTCAGGCAGAGCACCTCCTCACATGAGGCTCTGGCAGCTGACCAGGCCAGAGAAGCCACCTAGAGGACAGCAAGGGATGATGCTGGCAGGGGCACACTGGACCCTTGCTCCTCCTGTGCAGCCGCCAGAGCCTGCCCACTCAGGCTGGTCTTGAACCCCAACTCCTGGTCTCAAGTGCTAGAGGTATAGGCATGAGCCACCACACCCAGCCTTTTCACCACACCCAGCCTTTTTCCTTACCTCTGCTAGCTTCTGGTGTTTGCCAGCATTCCTTGGCTTGTAGCTGCATCATTCCAGTCTCTACTTCCATACATTGTGTTCTTTTCTATCAAATTTCCCTCAGCCTCTCAAGTGTACAACTACACATGACTGCATTTAGGGTCCACCCTGATTATCCAGGACTCTACCCATCTCAGGATCATTAACTTGATCACATTTGCCTAATCTTTGCCATGTAAGGAAACATTTACAGATTCCACAGATTAAGACTTGACATCTTGGGAATCTTTAAAGTTGGGTCCAGGCTGGGTGCAGTGTCTCATGCCTATAATTGTAGCTCTCTGAGAGGCTGGGGCAGGAGGATCCCTTGAACTCAGGAGTTGCAGACTAGCCTGAGTAACATAGTGAGTCTCCGTCTCTACTAAAAATAGAAAAAATTAGCTGGGCATTGTGGCAGGTGCCTGTAGTCCCCACCGCTTGTGAGGCTGAAGCAAGAGGATTGATTGCTTGAACCCAAGAGTTTGAGGTTGCTTGTGAGCTAGGCTGACACCATGCACTCTAGCCTGGGTGGCAGTAAGACTGTCTCAGAAAACAAACAAAACGTTGGCTCCAGTGTACTTTTGACATGTCTCCATTCTATCATGTCTCTATTGATAATTTCCTTATTTTCTGATATAAGCTTGGCTTATGTTATCTTTCATCCCTTACCTCTAATCATTTTCCAATAAGCTTTTTTTAAAAGTGTGAATCGTATTTATAAATCATAATTGGGGAACTAGTAGGCTCTCTGATAATGGGTTGGTCATTGAATGAAAGGGTCCAGCAATCAAGGGAGGAAGAGAGTGTGACTTTTTAACATTCTATCTAATGACGCAGTAACGGAATTTTTTGCTTCCTGTACCTTCAGTTTTGAGCTCTGTTGGTTTGTAGGTTTTAGGTTTCAAGGGAGGATGTTTCAACTAGGAAACCAACACCGGTCCCAATGAACTGGAAATTGAAACTCCCATTTGGGCAATCATGGTTCTCATGTCACTGGGCCAATGGGAAAAGAGGTTATTGTACTGACTGGGATGCTTGATTCCAATTATCAAGGGATATACAGTTATTGCTAAACAATGAAAGGGGTTCTCTGGAGTGCCTTTTATTGTCTCCATGTTTTGTTGTAAAAGACAGTGGGAGGCCACAGCAACCCACGAAAGGCAGTATCACTAAGTAAGGACTCGGATACTCCAGGAATAAAGTTTGGTGTCCCCCAACCAGTAAAGAAGCCCAGTCAACTAAGGTGCTGACTGAGGGCAATGGGAAAATAATATAGGATCTGAAGAAAGCTCTTTGATTTATAAAAATGAGGATGATGTCAGCTGTTTCTTATGTACATGTTTTCATATGTCAATCAGTTCCCTCCCTGTTATATATAAAAGGTTTTGTGGTGATTAACTATACAATTTAGTCTTACTATTAATAAAATATCTCCAGTGGTGGTGGGTGACTTAACTAGAAGAGGAATTAACATCCAGATACAGTCACAGTGATTGATGGGACTTTGCATTTTTTTGGAGATTAAGCATATTTTTGCATAAGACATAGTTGTTTTTATATTCATTTCAAAATGGGCAAAAGGATTGGTATATATGCTGAGCAGTCAAAGGAGGTTGCTGAACATTGTCTGCTGTATTTCAGCTCCATTAACTTCGCTATTTTCCTCTTCCCTGTCATGGTACATCTATAAGCTACGTTCCCAGACTTCTGCAGCTGGGTTTCTCTGTTTAGTTCTCCCCTGGAGGGGCACTACTGGGAAGGACACAGGAAGGGAGAAACTATTTTCGTTTTATCTTCTCGTAGTGTCACAAGCAGTAACGGTGACAACAGCATAAGCAACAAGTGTGGTGGCAGGCAGAGTGGCAGTACTAGTATGACAGCAACAGCACAGCGGCAGCCATGCCTGGCTGGCGTAGGCTAACAGACATTTCACCAAGCTGCTTGGTTTAGCAGTAGCAGCCTCAGTGGTGTAGTGAGTGTGAGCTCTGGGTCAGATAATTTCCTTTGTGGTACCTCCAGCTGCTTTCTGTATTCCTTTTATTATTTATTTATTGAGACAGAGTCTCACTTTATTGCCTCAGCCTCCTGAGTAGCTGGGACTACAGGCACCTGCCACAACGCCCGGCTATTTTTAGAGAGGGTTTTGCTCTGGCTCAGGCTGGTCTTGAACCTGTGAGCTCAGGCAATCCACCCACCTCGGCCTCCCAGAGTGCTAGATTACAGGTGAGAGCCACTGTGCCGGGCCAGTTACTATTCTTTAAACTTTCCTTTTGCTCCGTTAGCCCTTTGAACCAATAGGATGCTCCTGGATGGAGCGGCTGGAGGTACCACAAAGGAAATGATCCGACCCAGAGCTCACACACATTATACCACTAAGGCTGCTACTGCCAAACCAAGCAGCTTGGTGCAATTCTTTGTAATGAATTCTATGTATTAAATTTCTATTCCCTGATTGGACACTAACTGATACACTTTAAGACAGGCAGTGTAAGAGGCCCCCAAACAAGCCAGTTTTTTCCTTCAAGGATTAAGTGTTTTTTTTCCCTACAGATTAAGTGTCAAGACATATCAATAACTCACTATCAAGTGGGATAGTACAGGGAAGTTGATAAACATGGGAGATGGGCTGCAAGGATGAGGAAGTTTTAGTGTGAGAGTCCAGCGCTACTCTGACATGAGGTAACCACTGCCAGGAACATCCAGAGAATGGCATAAATTATTTCAATTAGCAGGTCAAGCCAATTAGCCATGTAAGAAACTCACCTAGGGACAATGTGCTGCTTCTGTGTTTCTTGCAAGCACAATCCTGACATCATTTACCAAACTTTAAGTCCTCAAACAGATGGTATACAACTCCATACTTACCTTTTTATCTGTTAAGATTTCAATGACTGTTAATAACAAGGAAAAGTTTAAACCATAACTTGTTCCTTAAGAGATATTCTGATTTCTATAACCACCACGTTTACTACCAACCTATATGTCTTTCAACCACTATGTCAGACCTATAAAGTAAAAAGTCTTTAATATTGACTAATTGCAATTAAGAAACCCTAATTGTGACTCTTGGTAACTTGTTTTATGTTCTTAACCTGTAAAACAGGAAAAAAGTTCTTTCCAGGAGGGTGGTTGTGAGGACCATCCAAAAGAATATCTGTAACACGTGTTAACACTTGGTTTCACATGAGAGAAAGTCGATGTTAGCTATTATCCTACAAAACAAGTCTCATTTCTATGTTGCTTAGGTTTTCAGTACTTAAGAAGGAAATCTTGTATACAACATGCTTCTCCTCCAACTGAGAGGACTGTGCAAAATAAAGAGCTACTTAACCTTTTAACCTAATGCAGTAGGGTAAGAAACACTGTAGTAGTAGTGAACTGGGGGTGACCCAGGGTGCGGCTGTCAAGAACCTGCTCTTACTAAACTATAAAGAATGCGGGTCTTTATGAAAAGCAGTTGGTCCTGATTTATCTAAAGTCAGCTGCTGAATTCATCACTCAGCCACCTGATGCCTGCCATTCTGACAGTGCAGCAATGTCATTTTCTTCACTATATATTCCTAGACTGACAAATGACAGAAACTTTTTCCCTTCTACTATATAAAGATAAGGAATCACATGTCACCTGTTAGGTTGTTTTACAGAAAGCCTAATACTCAAATGTGGATCATTCAATCTGTCCTATGGGACTATTTTATGTGTTTGGAATAGTTCTTTTTGTTTTGTTTTTGGTATAGATTATCTAACTTTTCCTAATCAAGTTGTGCTTGGATTTTTCATACCAATGATTATCCTTGGTTTTGTATTTAAAAAAATAGATTCACCAGTTATTATTCACAGAGTTTTAAAATGAGTTTATTAAAGAATGTTCTTAAGAAGGCAACAATTTTTGATTTGTCATTTAAAAAATGTTATGGTTTTTCATGCTGTATAATAAAGGTAAGAGGCTACAGAGTCATAAGCTTCTTTCTACTGGAATTTTCTGATATAACACAGTGTAGTCATTTCAGCAATGCTAGAATAAATTAAAAAAAGTCTCTTCTATGCTTCTCTTCAAAAAATGATGAATAGTAACAAAAGTGGCATAAAAAAGCCATTGCTTTCTATTCATTCTGTAGTACTGGAGCCAGTATCTAGGAAGCAAAGGAGAGCAAGAGTAAATTAAAGGAGTAACTTAATTTCAAATTTAAATATTTTAAGAATATCTTTTAAAAAAGAAAATAAGACTAATAGTGGTGGTGGTTTGAGGGCTGGAGAAGAATAGGAGGCAAGATTGAAGAGGGAAGCCAACCATGGAAATACCTTGAGAACTTAGAGATAAAAAGGCAATGCTTAGCTGTCCATATTTATGGTAGAGAAAAATGAAGCTGAACTACATTTGGTTCACACAACTGCACACAACCACATTTTTTTTCAGGTCCTCTACTGTCCCCAAATTGTAAATCACAAAGGACCATAGCATATAATCAGATGAGAACTGTATTTAAAGATATTTCCTGGTGAGAAAGAAATGAAAATCAGGTAAATACTTTTTTTTTTTTTTTTTTAATACAGAGTCTCACTCTGTTGTCCTAGTTCAGAGTGCCTTGGTGTCATAGCTCATAGCAACCTCAAACTCCCGGGCTCAAGTGATCCTCTTGCCTCAGCCTCCTGAGTAGCTGGGACTACAGGTGCTCACCACAACATCTGGCTAGTTTTTCTATTTTTTTAGTAGAGATGGGATCTCATTCTTGCTCGAGCTGGGACTACTCACCACAACATCTGGCTAGTTTTTCTATTTTTTTAGTAGAGATGGGATCTCATTCTTGCTCGAGCTGGGACTACTCACCACAACATCTGGCTAGTTTTTCTATTTTTTTAGTAGAGATGGGATCTCATTCTTGCTCGAGCTGGGACTACTCACCACAACATCTGGCTAGTTTTTCTATTTTTTTAGTAGAGATGGGATCTCATTCTTGCTCAAGCTGCTCATGAACTCTTGAGCTCAGGCAATCCACCCATCTCAGCCTCCCAGAGAGCAGGATTATAGGAATGAGCCACCGTGCCTGGCCTAAGGCACTTTGTAACATCATAGGAAAATTCTAGCTATTATCACTTTTTCTCCGCTTCTTCATTAGGAACTCAATGTCATTTCAGAAAGCTGACTTTTAGAATAAAATGGACTTGATAGTAGTACCTTATTTATCTGGCATCACTCAGGGATGTTTTTTCTTAATCATTTAAACTTATCTCTACCTATAAATGCCAAACCATTTTTATTTTGGAAAGAAAAATTTCTAAGATTGCAGTTTTTTCTGTAGATATAAACAGAATATAATCTAAGCTTTTTTGGGGAATCTTCAACAATTTTTTCATTGAAGATCAATTATTACATTGTGCTGTAAATGAGGAAAGCTTCTTAGAAACTACCACAATAGATAAGGCTGCTTTGGTACTTCTCATCTACCAAAGTTACCAAAATAAATGATCTTTTATCTTTAAGTAAAAGTAATATACTCTAAGGACCCCCCTCCATAGAGATAGGCACTCCTCAAGTAAAATACATATCTTTACATGGATTCTTTGATATTAAGTTTGTTTAAAGGCCTTCTTTATTTTTTTTTGGTTCTTAGCTATGGTTCAAATGGCTGAAACAGGCTACTAATCTACAGTTGTGCTATCCAATATGGTAGCCACCGGCTACCCACATGTGGCTATTTAATTCAAGATAACTAATAATATTAGATAACATTAAAACAGTAAGCCCTTCCGTTGCCCCATTTTAAGCGCTCAGACTACTGAAAAAATGCAGACAGGAAACATTTCCATCATTACAGAAAGTTCTACTGAACAGTGCTAGTGTACACCATGAACTCATTTTGACAGAGGTCTAGGAATTATTAATTGCCCAAACTCTACAGTCTAAACTTAAAACTGAAGGGCTATGAGAATGCTATTAGATTATAAGAAAAATTATGAAAAATATTATACATTATCTCAAATATAGAAGTATTATCTTGTCATCTAAGAAACGGTATTATATTCATATGAATTAGAAGAAGAAAACTAAATATAAAATAATATTATTTATACCTATATTCTCAGAATGACTACTCCCAGTTAACTTGGATGGTGTAAGTCATTGTAATGGTGCTAGGTTCAGAGACTCTCTGACATTTAGAAGAAATTATTCTTAGTAAAGGGCTGAAGGTATTAAAAATCAGGTTTAAGAGAAGAGTAAACCCATGTGTGAAAAAGGATATATTTACACGTGTCTAAAGGCTTACGTACACAACTGCAAAAGCATATACATAAGACTAGAAGAGTACACAGTAAAATATCAAAAGTGACTAAGGTAGGGGACGTGATAAGGCGGTGTTAACACTGTCACCAGGTATTGTTACAGATGTTTTTCTTTTGTGTGCTTTTCTGTATTCTGTACATTTCTTCAGTGATTAGGTATTTCCTTAGAAATTCAAAATACATAAACTCAGCCACAACCAGAGAAATAAGAGGGTATTCCATTTCTCTCTTTTGCATCTTAAAACTCCCTTCCTAGAGGGTGGCAGTCTTTTCTATTTAATTTCAGAAATAGCTGCTCTAAACACAAATGGTTATGATTATAAAGGGAGGTATACATTTAAAATAAAACTAGCAAAGTGGGAATAATGAATCATGACACAGAAAGCAGAGATGTATAGCTTTTAACACAGTTAAGGACCTGAACAAAAGTTCCTAGGTCTGCTATGGAAAATTCACCTGCACAGATATAACAGAGGAAAGGATATTTAGCATTATGATTGCAAGCTTCTTATGGTTAGTTAAAATCTGCTTTAAAATAACTTTTTAAATATAAAATGTATAGGTATACAGCAACACAGAGGCCACAAGATAAACTGTCAGAATTAAAGGTCTTCTTTAAAGACAAAGGTGTCTGTGAAAAGCCAGATAAACAAAACTGCATCTAAAACAGGGAAGAAAAGCATAGGAATTTGCTTATCTTCTTCTTCATGCAAATTCAGTCTGTGTAAACGGCTATTTGTCATTTGAAATGTAGATATACTTAAAGTCAGGAAGATGACTGTTTGAGATCTGGAATATACAATCTAGCTGAGATAGAAGCCAGGTCTCTATCAGGGAGTTAATCATTTGGCCATTTTTCCCCTTGTGCTTTTCATATAGAGTCATAAAAACAAGATTTCAAGTAGTTTTGCTTTCACAGTAATTAGGCAAACACTTACTTTTACCATCACAGGCTACAATTTTCACTTTATCCACTTTAATAAGTTCTGTCACCTCTCTGAATTCAACATCATTCAATACAAAAGTCCACACATTATCGCAGAATCTGTACGTATTTAGAGAGCCCTTTAAAACAAAACATTTAGACATACCATGAAAAGTCATTTTTTTCCCCCTCACATTTTTCTTGAAAGCAATTTAAAAGAACTTTCTACTAAGTACATAATCAAAACAGTATGTTTAATGCTTAGCTTAAGATTTTCCTTCATTTTAATACTATCTATGTAAAAAAGACAACCTTATATAAATTTGCAAAGGATGGAGTTAAATATTTTAGTTAGTTGGCTATTTTCAGCACTGTGAAACAGTCTGCAAATTACTTACCTGAAATATGATGAAAAGCAAAATTAAAACTTGAATTTGTGTTTCTACTGCCCCCATGTGGCTAAATTATGAAAGTTCATTTGAACTTTTAAGTAAATGGTTTTAAAAAGCTACATATTTTGTGTATGTTAATTCTTCATGCTTGTTAATTTTTTTTTTTTTTTTAGACACAGTCTCACTTTGTCACCCCCCAGTACAGTGCCCTGGCGTCATAGCTCACAGCAACCTCTAACTCTTGGGCTCAAGTGATTCTCTTGCCTCAGCCTCCTGAGTAGCTAGGACTACAGGCGCCCACCACAACGTCCAGCTATTTTTAGAGATGGGGTCTTGCTCTAGCTCAGGCTAGTCTTGAACTTGTGAGCTCAGAAGATCTACCCCTCGGCTTCCTGGGATTATAGGTGTGACCTACTGCACCTGACCGCTTGCTTGTTAATTTTAATCCTATGACTTAGCTCAGATGAATTAACTATATTAGCCACTAAAACTACAACATTCATTATCCTGTGCAACCTGCATTCTCCTAATTAATAATACAGTTTAAGGAGCAGGAATATGTACTTGAGCATTAAAAGGAAATTTTATTCATTTTATTTTTTTAGAGATAGAGGGGTCTCACTCTGTCTGTCACCCAGGCTAGAGTGCAGTGGCATAATTATAGTGCACTATACCCTCAAATGCCTGGGCTCAAAAGATTCTCCAGCCTCAGCCTCCAGAGTAGCTGGAACTACCTGCACACCAACACGTAAGTGTTGGGATTACAGGCATGAGCCATCATACCTCAAAGAATATTTTAAAGAGTATGGTGAAAGTCAAGGATAGGTACCCACAGTGAATACAGTCAATACCTGAAAAATAATTCCTTTCTAACTTCTAATAAAAGTCCTATCTTACCACTGCGGAGAAAAAAAAAAACCCTAAAAAATACACACCAAATACATATAGTCACACAGGAAATTTAGCATTTGAAAAGACATTTAAATGCCTAAAATTTTAATTCAGAAAAAAAGCATCAAATGCACAAATGCTCTCTGCAGTACTATAATAGCAAAAACTGGTTTCTATCTACATTTTCTAGCAAATGAGAATGATTAAGGAAACTATGATAGCTATATTAATAAATTTAATAAATACCTACTGTGTGCTAGATTATGCTAGGCTCTGAGAATTCAATGGTAAGCACTGTTCCCTGCCCCCATTGAGCTTGGTTTAGCAGGGAGATTATTAAAACAAGAACTATGTATACCTGTGCTAGGAAAGAGGAAATTATGGCTGGGTGCAGAGGCTCATGCCTGTAATCCTAACACTCCAGGAGGCAAAGGTGGAACCCCATCTCTACTAAAAATAGAAAAATTAGCCTGGCATCATGGGAGGGGCCTGTAGTCCCAGCTACTTAGGAGGCTGAGGCAGGAAGATTGCCTGAACCCAAGAGTTTGAGGTTGCTGTGAGCTAGGCTGATGCCACGGCACTCTAGTCTGGGGCAATACAATGAGACTCAAAAAAAAGAGAATAAACTACGATGCGAGTATAGCAAGGGCAATCAAGAGTAGTGGACAAAAGGCAAAGAAAGCTTCTTTCACACTTACTTTCAGAAAGTGAAGTTTGAGTCCTGAAGATTAAGAAAGAGACAGGAAGAGGCAGGGACAATGCAAAGGAAGACAAACACTTAGGACGCGGTTGTAGAGTCTAGAAAACAGAATGTGCCAGGAAGTCCTAACGTGAAAAAGATCATGGACAACCTTGGAAAACTTCTGCCCTATTCTAACAGTATTGGGAATTTATTCGAGGAATCACATGATCAGACCTGCACTTTGGTGACGACACAAAGAATTTACTTCTTAGCTGGGTAAATCAGAGAGGAGAAAGTGACTATACTACAGTAGTAGTGAGAGACCGTAAAAGGTAGAACTGAGAGGACTCAACAAATATAAATATGAGGAGTAGGGAGAGGAAAATCAAAGGTAATCACCAAGTGTCTGGCTTGAGTGACAATGCATTCGCAGAAAAAAAGGCAGTTTGTGAGGAAAGCTAAATTTGGAACTTGTTGGGTCTCAACAAGTATGCTGGTTACTCTCACTGGATAAGTGATGTTAGTTAGCTGTGCCAACAATTTGAACAAAGCATGCTATTGAGATTTATGGTCAGTATGTGAATATTCACTTTCAAATATAAATTTTAGATACAGCTTGGAGTGAAAAATATATAATCATAATATAGCATAAATACATATATTTATTTTACTGAGAAAAGTAAAATGCTACAAACCATGATTGTGAGATGTTAATTTTATATGCAAAGTAGTTATTAAATGTATTCAAATTTTAGATTAAAAAGATCACTGATTAGCATAATTAAAGAATACATCAGCTAGGTAACTTTTGAGCCAACCATATTAAAAAAGTTTAAACATCAGAAGAAAATGGATAAGAATGTGAATCTCATCGTTAAAGTAATTTGGTGAACTAGAACCCCTAACATGAAATAAGATAATTTTTATTATATAATTTTTAGTTATTTAAACATCTTATCTTTTCAGCATCTTTATTTGAAAGTCAAATAAAGTGCCTCAAGTATGGTATAAGGAATGAAAGAATAATTTCATTTTTAAGTAAAATTTTAGATTTTTGTTTAAAAAAACCTTTTTATAGAGATAGGGTCTTGCTACGTTGTCCAAGTTGGCCTTGAACTCCTGGCCTCAATGGTCCTCCTGCTTCAGCCTTCCAAAATGCTGGAATGACAGGTGTGAGCCACCTAACCTAGATTTATTCTTTATGTTAAAAAAGGTCCTTCTACAAGATGATATTTGGCTTTGGTCAGATACTGATTTTAACACGTAGTCTTTCGAAGTGTTATCTTCAATGCACCTCTAATAAATACATACAGTATTCACATATGTCCTTTTAACATTCAGTCATTGAAGTGTTATCTTCAATGCACCTCTAATAAATACATATAGTATTTACATATGTCCTTAACTGGGCAACACTTTATTTAAAGAAAAGAACATCTTAAATGTTATATAGTACAAGTTCATTACAGAACCATTAAAAACCACGGAAAAGGAAAGTGTTATGATAGTTAGAAGGGCTTTTTCTTGAACATTGAATCTTTTTGACTACTAAAATCTTTTAATGCTTGCTTAATTACTGTTTGAAGCTTGGTATAATTTTTAAGTAATCATTACTTTTGTCTGTGGACATACATTTACCTCAAAAACATAAAATGGCTTTTTAAATTTTAATTATTTTTTAAAAGACAGGTTCTTACCATGTTGCTTAGAATAGTCTTGAACCTCTGGGCTCAAGTGAGCTTCCCGTCTCAGTCTCCTGAGTAGCCGGGATTATAGGTGCGTGCCATTGTGCCTGGCAACAATGGTATTTAAAAGCCTAGTTATATATATTAGTTCAACCTGAATTTTCTCCCTAAAAATTAATTCATATCGAGGTCCTTGGTACATATACAGGGTCTGAGAATTAAGTTTGTGAACTCATCCTAGAAAAGGTGCTACATACTTCATTGCTCAGTATTACTAGGGTCACCTTTGAAGTACTCGGCTTGGGAAGCTATGTACCAATGCCAGCACCTAGTCTACCCTTCAAAGCAATTTTGGAACTCTTTTTCCAGAATGGCCATCAAAGCTGTTGTTGTTGTATTACCTTTGCTATCCTGAATGTCATCAAAATGTCTTCCTTTCATTATTTCCTTTATCTTTAGGTACAGAAAAAAGTCATTGGGGGGAGATCAGGTGAGTAGGGATGGGGTTCCTAAATAGTTATTTGTTGGCCAAGATTTTCAGTTAAGATTTTCCTATTTATTGATGTTTACTTGGTCTGCTATGCTTCTTAGTCAGCAGATGATTCTGATGCACAATTTGATGAATTTTTGCATTTTCATCAGTTCTGTGTGTTACTAGCTGCCCTGACCTACCTCTCTTGCTCTCCCCTCAGAAAAACATTTAATCCATCTGTACACTGATGTTTTCTTCATGAAATTACTCCCATAAACTTGGACTAACATGTCCTGATTTCACTTCCACTTCTACCAAGTTTAACAACAAATTCAATGTTTGTTCATTGCTCTAATTTAAGCTCTAACATTCTTGTGACAGCACATGCAATAGTAATGAATGCCACTCAGCAAGACACTGCTGTAACTGACATGAACACAACTATGAGACGCTGACATACCAAGATTATGAAACCTTTCTGAGTTGCTTGTACAGTGCTGTCAATGTAAGCCCACAGTGTCATGTTGGTGAATTTAACTGTCAGATCTTGTATTTTTAGTAACAAATTTCAACATATATATCATTAAAACCCTACTTCTCATATGCAAGAGGATTTTTTTCCTATAATATTGTACTAAATAATTTCGCTCATATGGAATCCATATAAGGATATAAAAAGCAATTTAACATGCTACATTAGATTATTCTATTCTTTTAATGGGTACTTATTGCTTATTGCTAGGCCAGCCAAGATTATTATAAATAAAAACATGTATTTAAGTGTGATCTTCTGTCTTGGGTATAGGCTCTACCTAGCTAAACGGAATGCTATGTGCAAACATCCTAAACTTAAAAGCAAGAATGGAAAAGTCCCAGTCAAGCCTGAGTATTTATAACTTTTGGAAAACAGACAAACTTACAAAACACTATGCAAGACAAAGTCAAATGTCAAATTTCCTTGAATTTTAGCTGAAGAGAGCTAAACTAGAAACCTAAATAATGCAAACCAAGACAATTCAGACCATGTGAACTTTACTGACTCTAGTGAAGAGCCCACCAAAATTTCTACATGGGCGAAGTTTATACATGAACATAAATCAACCAGGCAGCTTTTTACATATGATTATACAAACACACACAAGTTAATTTTGCCAGAATTGTTACTGTTAAAAATTTAAGAATCCACTGATCAAATTTTATAGTTTTTTTTTTTTTTTTGAGACAGAGTCTTACTATGTCGCCCTCAGTAGAGTACTGTAGCATCACAGCTCACAGCCACCTCAAACTCTTTAGGCTTAAGCGATTCTCTTGCCTCAGCCTCCCAAGTAGCTGGGACTACAAGCGCCTGCCACAATGCCCAGCTATTATTTTTGTTAAGTAGGCCTGGACTGTGTTTGAACCCACCAGCCCCAGTGCATGTGGCTGGTACCCTAACCACTGAGCTATGGGCCCCAAGCTGAAATTTTATAGTTTTCAAGACACATTTTACTCCAGAAAATTTTTTGGCATGTGAAACTAATAAGAAACTTACCTATATAAATACAAAATACACATAGGTTTTTTTTATCCCTTCATTAAAATTTAAGCCAAGTGGCCTTATCTATCTTGTTCATTTTTATATTCACAATATCTAGAACAATGTCTGGTATGTAACAGGCATGCAAATACTTGTTGAATAAAGGATAAATTTTTCCTTTTATGTTTTTCATCACCAACAAAACAAAAAATAAAACAACCTAAAATACTAATGTTCTTTAAATACAAAGTAATCTCTAAGTTTTTTACATATATTGTCATCTATTTTATTACCATTTGCTTCTTGGAGTACTGAAGATTTTCATATATTTTAGTCTTTTAATTTCTACATTATGGTAACTTATGCTTTATAATACAACATAAGCATAAATATTAAATATAATCAGACAATAATTGAACATCATTATCAACTATGTTATATGACTCCTTCAATATCATAATATGATAAAATTATTTCTATTCCACCATGATTCTTTCAAAGGGTCCTTAATCTGAATATATCATAAAATTGGCAGATGATTTTGCTTGGCTTTGGATTACTTTACAAAGTACAAATGAGATCAAGATATCAAAACAGACTATTATCTACAAGAGATCAAGTTTTATAAGCCATGTTATTGAGTAGGTGGGAGATAACAGAAAATTTCTAGAAAGAATTGTGTACTTCCGGGCTCAGCGCTTGTGGCTCAAGTGGCTAAGGCGCCAGCCACATATACCTAAGCTGGCAGGTTCAAATCCAGCCTGGGTCTGCCAAACAACAATGATGGCTGCAACCAAAAAATAGCTGGGCACTGTGGCAGGCGCCTGTAATCCCAGCTAACTGGGAGGCGGAGGCAGGAGAATTGCTTGAGCCCAGGAGTTGGAGGTTGCTGTGAGCTATGATACCACAGCACTCAACCCAGCTTGAGGCTCTGTCTCAAAAAAAAAAAAAAAAAAAAAAAGAATTGTGTACTTCCCTGGACTGGGTGAAAACCAGAGTTTAAAACATTTAACTGTGAACCCTGGGGATTACTCTGCCACTTACCCTCAGTCCTGCAGGTAATGTTTGTTGTTTGAAATCACAATAAGTTTTCGGGGAAGGTAGCCAAACATACACAGGCTAATTTGTGAAACAATGGAAGAAAAATCTAAAAGCAACTCTATCTCACATTAAGTAGATGAACTTAGTATACTTACAATTTAGTTATTACAAAACAAATTCCAAAATTTGACCAAACCACTTCTTCTTCTTATGTTTAATAAATATGTAGGGGTCCTAAAAACACTGTTGTAACAACCATTGGTACAGGCATCTAGATTAAGGAAAATATCCTTACCCTGAAATTGACTCTGTTCCTGACTCTCTGAGCCAATGCTGAATTTATAGCCTTATCAAACTGAAGTAGAACTTGAAGGGCAAGTTGGGGGGTGATCTGTTGAGACTGAGAAGAAGTAAAGGTCACAAATCCTCTTAGGGAAGAACATCAAAGACAAAGTAAGTAAAAATATACAAATTTTCACCTAAATTTAATTGAGGTTAAACAAGCCTCTACACTATTATTCTCCTTTGCCATAACTGACAATAAAGAAGCAAAGCCTGAAATCTACAAATAACTTTTGCACTATCTTGACCCAAAAATATATTTGAAAACATGCAGTGATGTCACAAAGCCAAAAAACAAAACAAAACAAAACAAAACAAAAACTTTATCTATCTCCTTTCACAGTATCTGGAAAGAAGTTTTTAATAAATTGAGGGAATCTTTTTATTTTTATTTATTTTCAGTTAGTCTTGCTCGGTTGCCCCTGCTAGAGTGCACTGGCATCATCATAGCTCTCACAGAAATGAGAGATGGGGCCTCACTCTTGCTCAGGCTGATCTCAAATTCCTGAGCTCAAGTGATCTTCATGTCTCAGCCTCTCAAAGTGCTGGGATTACAGGCATGAGCCACCACGCCCACCTTGGAATCATTTATTTTAAACAAAAAACACAGAACCTATATTAAAAAAACAGCTATTAAATCTTATTAAAGTCCATAAAATATATCAACAATGGAAATAATTTGTTCTTGGTTGGTAAGTTTATATGAAAAGGTTAATTCTCTTAAAATTGAAATATAAATTCAAAATTCTAATTTAAATCTCAAAATACTTAATTGAATTGGATAAAGCTACATAAAATATCCTCTTCTTCTATACATGAATCTATAACCCACAACCTCAATTTCTATGTTTAACAAAAAATTTCTTAGAGGCCAGGCACAGTGGCTCATACCTTATAATCCTAGCAGCTGGGAGGCCAAGGCGGGAGTTTTGCCCAAGCTCACATGTTTGAGACCCACCTGAGCCAGAGCAAAACCTTGTCTCTAAAAATAGTTGGGTGTTGTGGTGGGCACCTATAGTCCCAGCTACTCGGGAGGCGGAGGCAAGAGAACTGCTTGAGCCCAAGAGTTTGGGATTGCTGTGAGCTATGATGCCAGGGCACTCTACCAAGGGTGACAAAGCGAAACTTTGTCTCCCCAAAAAAAAAAAATTTTTTTTTTGAAGATTTAGTTATATAAGGCAATCCCCAGGTTACAAATGAGATAAGGATTCTGTAGGTCCGTTCTTAAGTCACATAAGTTGCATTTGTATGTAAGCTGGAATAGGTGCATTTACCTCTTACCTGTAACAGCTCTGTTTGTAACTATTTAGAGTCATACGTCAGTGGATGTTTGTAACTTGGAGACTGCCCATATTCAATTACATCATTCAATCATCATTATATTTTGTGTCCTATTGTCAGGATGGTATAATAAACAGGAACCTGGGGTTATTCATCAATGAGCAACACTTGCTAGGTCAAATAGTCTAAGCTAGAATATTTTACCTTACATCTCACTGCATGGGATAAAGGAAATGACAAGAATTACTTTAGGCCCAACTAAATAAAAATATTTGATTTTCGGTCTCTCACCTGTATGAGCTCATCTAGGCTCTCCTGAAGACTGTTTCCCAAAGTGGTATTTCTGTATAACTGATATGCCATGGCTTTAGGAAGAAGAAATTATTTTTCTTCTTCAGGCTTGCATTGATGTCCTAAAATTTAATATAAAATTCTTTGAAATAAGAGAATATACTGTAAAATTATAAATTTTGTAATACAGTCTACTTCATATAGTATAAAGTAGTACTAGCAGAATTCTTAGTTATTGAAATTACTATATATACACACATATAAAGTTTACAATTACACGGAACAGTTAATGCTTTTTCTCATTTTTCTGTAATTCTGACAGTCATTAGTACAGACATATTTATAAAAACATGTATCTTTACCACTTGTTTGAAAGTCTAAAATTCTAAAGCAAGAATTTTCCATGTACTCTATTTGCTGTCAAGTCACTGATGCAGACCATCTTCAGCTTATACTTGCATGTTTACCCCCTTTATTTTCCTGTTCTCTTAAAATTCAGTATTTGTAGTGTGCCTACCAAAAGGATAGCACTGAGACAGGCACCAGAGAGGGGAAGATGACTAAAGATATACTTCCAATCCTAAAAATTAATATCCCGGAGTGGATAAGAGACATACAAAAAGGTTAAATTTGGTATACAGATACAAAGCATACTATGGAGGCTACTGGTGGACTAAGAATTGGCTCCGAAAAACTTCCTGATTCTTCAAGCTGAAGAAAAGCCATTTTAGGCTGACAGAATAAATAAGCCACAGAAGGATGAAATAATAGTCTGTGGGGAGAAATAAACTGTTCCACGTTATTGAGGCCTAAGTATGAATGGGAGTAGCTGAAAGAGATGGCACGGATGGACTCACTCTGCAGGAGAGGTTTGGGCAATGGAGTGCCCCTGAAGCAGTCTGTACAGAAAAGGTCAAATGGGCTTGAGTGTGAGATTAAAAATAGATGAGTACAAATATACAGACAGAAGAAATAAGATGTAGTGTTTGAAAGATCAGTGACTACAGTTAATGTTAATGTACTGTACATTTCAAAATAGCTAGACTAGAGTGATTCAAATGTTCTAGCATAAAGATGAATACTTAAGATGATGGATATCCCAAATACCCCGATTTGATTATATGAATGTATCCTACTCTAATATGCAGCTCCCCAGCATACATCTATTATGTATCAAAACAAACACATGAGAGATGAGGGCTCAAAAAGGGTAGTAGTAGTACAGATTCAATAAATGTTAACTGAGCTTCTCCTACTTGTCAGGTATAAGACCCCTGACCTTTGTGGCACTTTCAGTCTAGAGGTGAACGTGAGGAGATACCTTCTAGCAATCATCAGGTAAAACTCAGTAAAATTAGTGGCCAGCCATCAGTCTTCACATTACATGCCTGGTCAGCACCTGACACAACAGATCATTTCTGCTTTCTTGAAATAATACTTCTTTGACTATGGGACCCCACTCTCAGTTCTCTACTATCACCTCACTGGATACATTTTTTGCTTTATCTTGCTGGTTCCACCTCCATTCCCTGACTTCTAACTACTGCCCTTGGCTTCTTATGTCTTCTCTTCCCTATATGCTTTGCTCCCTTAGTTACCTCAAGACTCCCAAACTTTATCTCTATACCTGAATTTTCTCTTGAACACATATATAAAATTGCTTACTTAACACTGGATAAAAATACCAAGTAGGTAGCTTGAATTAAATTTATCAGAAAACAAATTCCTGATATTATCCCTTCAAATTTGCTGTTCTCAGTTTTATTCACCTCAGTAAACAGAAAATCTAGATGTCCAATAATAACACAGCTCCCAAACCTTAAGGGTCAACATTAATGTGGCTCTTTCTTTCTTACCTGACATTCAATGTTAGCCAATCCTTTCAGCTCTTCCTTCTAAATAGAGCCAGAATCTGACTTCTATCTTCAATGCTATCAGTCTTAAGTCACCATCATCTATGACTAGAATTGTGATAGACCATTAAGAGGTCTCCCTGTTTCCACCCTTCCCTATCCTAGCCCCACCCTCAAGGCAGCCACACTGAGATCTTAAAAGGCAAGGCAGGCTCGG